ATGCATTCTGCTATACGGTACATCTAACACTATTGGTGGCCAAGAACCCATCCTCTTCATTAACTACAGATCTCTTACTTTTCACTCAGTTAGTCTTCAGACAAGTACTCTTTTCTGGAGCCTCGACAACTGGAATGAATCTCGCAGATTAGTTCAGACACAGCATATTTCTTGGTCAAGTGCTTCGTCGCGACTAACCTCCATGATGAGTTTGTAAACTTCAAACCATCTAAAGAAAGTCAAAATAGAGGAGGGCTAGAAAAGTCTCTTGGGTATATGAAGTCTTCACTAGTTCCAATATGACGGGGCATTATGTTCTCTCACATTGTTTCCATTAGCCTAAAGTGTTATCCATTCCTGATTAAAGCTCAGGTGTGAGACATAGAAAGAACTATTGCGACCTACAGCACCTAAGCCCACCGGAAAAATTCTGTATTTTGCTGCAACCAAGGTGGATAGTTGAATATGAATGACCTACTTAAAGCCATGTTTCCCCTATTTACATTATGGAAAGCAATAACCCGAATAAACAGCATTATTTCCACTAAAATATTAGTAGATATTACTCGGATTTAGTTGTTAACCAAATGTCTATCCCTGTGATTACAAACAAGGCTTGATATTTTGAGCTGCTTCGAAACAATGTCGAGTACTATTGTGAGTTTTACGGCAATTATATGCCGCGGAGCTGCAGTATTTCACTTATTTATATCATTAGCGTTACAGGAACGTTTTCACGACTACGATCCTTAAAAGTTGTGAGATAGTGTCGTTCTCAATGAGTACAGGATCCATCCTTGGAAATAATGGATGGTCTTTCATCATCGTCAACAGAAAATCTTTGCTCAAATTATTTTATCGAGACCTTATCTTATCAAATCGCCTACAATTGCCAGTGGATCATCTCTGTGCAGAAGTTGTTGGACTTAAGCACTTTCCGGTACTTACCTTTCCACGCAGGGGAAAAACCATTTGAGGCTATTCAGGGAATGATGGAGTGGATGCTTCCCTTAGAATAGCGTATATTTACTTATCAAGCTGTAAATACGTCCATGGTGTTACCATCAGTGGATATGAAATTGTTAAAGCCCGTAAATACGAATGGGTTCCAGACTTTTTATCTGCACCCAAAAGGTTTCCTGTCCCCCTTAACTGCTCGTGGTGGATGGTCAGTAAGTATATATGGAATTATCTATGGCATAAAAATGAACACCATGGAAATAAATGCACCTTTAAATTTAAACTATGTTCCTCAGATTGAAGCGTCAATGTCAACCAATCAGCCCGTTTCTGCATGCCACACAGTAATGATTGAAGTTTCGCTTGTAACATATTTAGTTGAGGATAGACGTGATCAAGGGCTATCTACACCTTTGAACCTATGGGGTAAAAGTAGATTTTTATCAATGGTCACATTGAGTATGTTTGATCACCATAATAAGTAGTTTACTATTGGATACCTGCCAAGGTATATCGGTGAATAGCAGATGAAAAAAAGAAGACCAGTTGGAGCTAGAGTGTCAAGTTTCTTTGACTTTCAGGTTTTATTATATGACTAAGAACAAAATCAATATCGACTGGTTTGTCGATGGGCTCATTTGTGTATCAGAGTACTGTTTTCAGCACTATATTTTGTAACTGCACATAATCCCATACTTTGAGCTCCGGTCTGAACCACCCTCATTTGTACAGTTTTTTTATCCACTCATACCCTATTTACACTTAGTTTCTTTAACATAGTAGAATGCTCTTGCTTAATAAGTACCTTAGTAAAAGAGAATTAAACTGAGTAGTCGAACCTTAACTATTCCCTCATGAACATTGCCTGCTCTGCTTCTCGTCCTTTCTTTTTCTTACGCTCTTTTTCAACCCCCTTGGGATGTGCCACTGAAAACAGATATGGAACCAGCGACTCCGTCCGGCACCAAGTCACCTATAATTGCAGCACATAAGCTTAGTTGATTCCAACAACTTATAATCACTATATCTCAATTAAATCGTATTCTGCCTCATTCTAACCACATACTTGCAACTAACTTGTATGCAGCATCAGCCGGTAGGTATAAATACAAATAAATAGTTTATGGAAAATCAGAGCATTGAGTCTAGAGCATGTTTTGCAGACGCATTCATGTTTAGCGAATTGCTCCTAGCTATCCCTTTTTAATTGCAATTAGTAATGTAATCAAGTAGCTCGAATGCACACTTCTTATATAATATCAGCCCAGCTGAGTAACCTACTACAATTAAAATTTTGTCTCTTGTAACAATTTGATCTTGCCTGTAAATTGGCGTGCCTCATATAACAAATGCCATTTGAGAATAACGTATTGTTATTTATATAGTTAAGTTGACAAAACCGAAAAGTGATTTTTCGTATGATATATTTTTCATTGGTGATGTATATTATTTTTTTCAAGCATACATTTATTACCATTTTTGCATCATTGTGATTGTAAGCCCTAATTACACTAATTTTTTTAACCTTCGAGACCGACTTTGCAAGACTAGGTAGATGACGGACAAGACGAAGGAACTATGTATCTCATTTTGAATATATTCACTATTCGTCATACGACCCTTTAGATTAGGGAAGAATGACGAGATTTCACTTTCGTAGTAAGTCATTATGAGTGTTAACAAACTGTATGATAGTTATTTTTTAATTTTCAGGTAGTCACGAATAAGCGCACTTACCACTCCACCATGGGAGAACGGGCCCTAGTGATAAATAGTTATTCGATGTTATTTTTTATAAATATTCATGAATGTTAACGACCATGTTTATTTTACTAAACTAAAAATAGCTAAAGTCTGTTAGTCAAACATTATCACCAGATTGCACTTGGATTTGACATAGAGGGCTCCTGCTTCCCTAGGGTGCCTGTTTGGATGTTTCTGTGCATATAACCAAATAACATTTTCTCTTATACATCAGCAGACTCTTCCTCGTTTATATTCAGGTTATTCAGTTAGAAGATAATCACATACTGGCATTGTTTAGTTCTGGCTCTCCAGAATTACCTTCAAATTCAGCCAAAACTCACTGCGTAGTCAGGTACGGACCGAAATAGATAGTCAGATTCCAACAATCTATCATAGACAACCAACTAGGTGATTCATCGGGTCATCAGGTCTTCCCAAGCCATCTAGAAAAAATAAGGTTTGAATTGGTAGCTCCTAACAACGTCTATTCTCACAAATTAAAATGCACGTCACAAACAAAGTTAATCAGCACTATATAGCAATTACTATCTTCAAATTTTCCAAATAGGACTGGCTGTAACAAGAAATAGTCGTCATTTGGGTCACGTTAGTGGAACAATGCTTAATGTTTATCCTTATCAAGTCAAACCCCCTAAAGCAAACTTAAATAACCTATAAAGTGAAGAAAATAGAAACCTCTGGTGGTAGAGATTACTTCTAGAGGTTGCGTGTTGAAGCTAATGGTATGATGTAAGGAATACATTTTAGCCACAAATACTTATTACTTTGTATAATTGTCTGGGCAACAAGTTAGTCTTAAAGGCAATCTTTCGGCAAAAATGCGTAATTTACACTTCCTTTTATGCCATCTAATTTGATGACGGAGCATGCTGCTGAAAAATAACTATCCTGTTCTGACTTGGTAAAACTACTTAAGAAAATGTCATAAAACAGTACTAATTCACAGGTCACAAGCTTCGCTAACGTCATACTTGATTGGGATCCAAATAATAGACAGTGTACTGTATATAACGAAAATCTGTGAAAAACCATTAAACCTAAAACGTTTTCGTATGATTTTAGCTGCAAAATATCCAATAAGACATATTATTATGTAGGCTTTTGAGAAACTCACTTTGATGTATGTATGTATACACAGAAAACATATCTCTGAAACATTACTGAACTTAAAAATTAGGGATAGATCAAAGCTAACTGAACACGTTAATTTTGTAGGCCAGTTTAAGAAGTAAATAAAGCCTTAAATGTGAGAGCAGGTCGGATACAAAATTATAGGACATTCGTTGGTCGCGATTTGGTTACACCCAATGATTCTGTTAGGCTGTCACAATTTTCCGCAGGTCACTACCTAACCACCACCAGACGCATTATATCAAGGTTTTTGTACTTGTAGTATCGGACGTTGTCAAATATTCAGAGTTGTATGTTAAAATTTGATTAGCTGGACTCAATAATCAACTTATTCAAATTATTTCGTCAAAACATATGCATGAACTCACCTTAAAGTTCATAATGTAGTTGCGTCCCCCTTTTCAAAAGAGATATAAATCTCAGACCAAGTACAGAGACGGTCGTTCAAGTGGATGATATGGCTAAAACATAAATCTGACGAAGCGAAACTTAAACACCTGGGTTATTTTCATTGAGCTTCAGGTGAATATTAGGTGATCTGATAATTGCATATAGCTTATTAAACACGTCACGCCGCCACAAAACGAGCATGTAACTAGAACATCATTACGACGCTCCCCGAGGCATCTATCGGAAGATGGCACATCAAAGAGCGAACACATAGGTAAACTTTCACTTTTTCTCATTAAGAGTGGCCCCCAGTTGGAATGTTCACCCAAACAAAGTGACCACTATCCATCCAGTGGATAGCTTCATGACGAGAATTGACGAACACGTACCCACCCATGGATTACCATATCCCACTTGAGCCAACTGTGTCTGGTTCATGTCTCATAAACTGTCATGTCACCATTAGTATTTCCCATGTCACTTATTATAATCTCCGTCATACTCCCACTCCTCTGATTCCGTCTTCTTACAGTTTATTAATTAGGTAAACTACTTTTCTATCCTTTAAACAATCATATTCTCTTAACATTCAAATTATCACGCACTATGCATCTATACAACAAGTACAACTCATGCAGTCAGGTGGTCAGACTGTCATCAACTGAGTATTACAAAACAATGAGAAGTGAAGACAAAAAAAAGATTCTGTCTATACGAGTTCGTGACAAAGACATTGGGTATTGGATAGTCATTGAAAATTGGATAAAATCACCATAGTATTATATTTCACGAATTTCAAAAATGCTGATCAACATTACAGATTTTCGTTGGTGTGAAAATCTTTCAGACATAGACTTAATTGTACCACTACATGGTATAAGTGCATCAAATGTAGACACACTTATTACAAGTCAATATGTTAAAGTAAGTTGCACTGAGTGTCATTCACTTCAAACTATTTGCCATTTAACGCTTAAATAATAAAATAGTGATAGTAGTACCTTCTTTTCATCATTATAAATCGGCTTCCAATTAAGCTGTCTCAGTATATTTGGAAAGTGTCTTTGTCTCTCACACGAACTAAAGGTATAAATGTTAAATGTGTGGTGTCTAGTACCAATATTCACACGTGACTCATCATTTTGTTTTCACAATAACCCATTCGATTCTATAGGAAGTTGTGACCATAAGAATTCTTACACGTTATGTATTTGAATCCTTGTATCTATACACTCACGCGCCTTGTGTGTACTTGTTTGTCCGTTATCCAATTTCTGTCTCTTTGTTACACTGCTATCTATTTTGAGCCATATTAACGCTTGTAATGAATATTTAGTATAGTTATCTACTCCAGTCTATTTCTCCGATTTATACATCTTATTGTCTGTCTGCGTAACGAGTGAATGAAATATACGTATCCAGAATTCATTATCTCATTTGACTTGTTCTGTTATTATTTAATTTTAAATAAGTCCATAATTACATATGATAGTAGCCGGCATGTATATTTCGTTTACATCATTAAACGAACTAAGCGGAGTCAGATCAACAGTCATTAAAAATGCTGTATGGTTCAGGTAATAGATAGAACATTTAATCAACTAAAAACGGAGACATTTATGATGTTATGCACACTGGTTTTGCAGAAAATCCAAGCTAGCCCCCGGCGAAAAAGTGTGTTAGTTATAAATTTGGATGACAATAGCATAGCTAACTGAGATCAAGAGGTGGCTAATACATTTAATCTCAGAGCTTTTGTATGACCATAGGTTAAAAAAGTTAACTATGGTCCTCTGACTATCTGGAAAGATTAAAGTTGATCAGTCTTACTAGATCAGAGGCTCTAACACTCCTGTTTTCATTACTTGGTTGTACATATAGTCCTGATATAGTTTGTATTTCTCAGGGCTGAGTTTATTGAGCTACATTAAGTGAATAAATTTCGTTAGCAGTAACAAAATACCTTAAAAGTTAGCAATGAAATTATATAACGTATTCATTTAAACTTAAAATAGCAAACCAACCTAAGTAAAGTCTTAATTATTTTAGTTTCAATCAATTTTAACAAAATCGACTATAAACCCCGATTTTTTGTGTCGTGAAAGTTCCATAATCCTCAACTTATTAGAAATTGCAGTCTTTAATTGTGGAAGAGAAGGCCAGTTATCAGTACTCTCTTGTTTCAATTTCACTTTAGTTGTATTAGTACATGGTACTGATTGCATTTGCTTTGAGGGTTTTGGCGATTTACCGGTTGATTTTTGAACTAACTGCACGTTTAATCAAATGATGCTATATGAGGATCTTTAACTCGTTTAAGTCTGGAGTAATCTTTATCCAAGTGTGGCTCGTATTCCTCTCCAAGTTGAATTATTTAAATGCTCAAATCATTCAATGGGTATATAAGCGTCCCTTGTTGAGCTCATTGTAGATCCACAACTTTTGCACCATGAACAGGATCTTTATTACTTTAAACATTCACAGCTCATAGTCTCATGAAGCAAAAACAACTTAGAGGAGCAGAGAAATCTACAGAAGCAATTAAGATTCTGGCCTACTCCACTGCTTCTGTGCAGCTAGTACTCATCTAGTCATAACCAGTAGGTGTTAGGGTGATTTTAACCTTAGATATCACTTATCACTGTACCCTATCTTCAGATAAAAAAGAGGTGAGTAGGTTGCTCACATACTCAGTTTTAACAATCACATAGACTAAACACCCTAGTTACATACACAAGTAAAAACATTTCTCAAGAAGCCAAAAATATAAATTCATGTTGTAAAATCCAAAAAAGCTGATAGAAAACGTAGAAAGTATGTTTAAAGTCGTTATAGGTTCTAGGAGCAAAACAGTACAACTAGTGGAAAACTTTTCAACAAATCAAATTTTCAGCGATTACGTTTTTGACCACTGAATAAAATACCCAGAATAACTTAAACATCACCGAATATCGATCTTTTAACAATACCTATCCAGACTCAGAGAATAAGCAGAGCGTAGATTTAGCCAAGGGAGATCTCACTTTGTGATAATATATAACCACATAGCTTCAGTTGTTTTATCCTGCTAAGTTTATTAACCTTAAGAATGCATACTTGTTACTACTTTCAAATTATTTTAAAAATTATTGTAGAACGAATTTGCAACAGATATATATGATATAAATCGTTTCATCTAGTCGCTAGAACAAAACAAAATTAACCAGTTTAGTCTGAATTTTGACCACGAGCATATTTTCTAAAACTTTCAGGTTTGATTAGTAAGCATAAAACCTTAAAAAGATTCCCTTTATCCCGCTGACAACTTTCTGGCTCATCAATATTATAAATGTAGAAAGTTACTCAAAACAAACGATCCAATAAATGTAACACAACACAAACTGTGAATCAGGTATCAGGGACATTAGTGCTTTTTAATTTCTAATCTAAAATATTAACAGTTTATTAGTTTATTTAGTCCATAATTCTAAGGTTACATCTTACCAAATCATCTTTATCGAAAGCTGAAATAATTACTCTACGTATGTCATTTTGTGAAAAACTTTTAATTTATTTAGTTTTTTCCTGGCTCCATATGAAAATATTGTCATCCTTATTCTAACTATATGTATATATATTTTATTCATGATTCAATAACCACATAAATTTAAGCTTTTTTGATCCATTTTTTTTGTTTGATGCTACTGAAGTGCATAAAATCTAGTAGGAAGAACCTGTCTCGATTTATAAATTTACTGACTTTTTTTCAGTATCTTGTTTTGGTTACATGTGAACAAACTTTGGTAAATTGTAGAAGAAGTTTCTGACTGTTATCACAGACACTTGCAGCGTCTAGCACATGTAAATGTACTTGCATTTTCAAGATATATGAACAAATTTACCTATATATACTCTTAACACATTAGATTAGAAGTTACCACTGAATATTTAAATTTATAACCACAGGTTATAGACAGGGAAATATTATATTTCTATTTTGAATCTTATGGTTTCCATAGGTTGTTATCAAACCGTACATTTTTGAATGTGCGTTGTACAAACCGATCAATGTTGAAGAAAGTACTTTGAAACTAACAGATGGTGCGGCTGAGTTTAACCTCAAGAAATCTAGTGCTGAACTATGGCATCAATTGACATTGGATGACATGAGTAATTTTGTAGATATATTTTATTTTGTTACTATACTTTTTACTAATTAAGAATTAAGATGCTTAATATTTATAGATCAATTAACACTTCAGAGGACAGAAGACGTTTGTTACAGATTAAACAAAATGCCATACTTGAACATCAAGAACGCGAAATGAAACGCGCTAAAGCAAACAAAGACATGAATGTAAGGGGTGAAAAATACGCATTGGAACAGGTTATGGAAGTAACTTCCTGTATTTATCTTTAAATAAATTGTCGTTGTTTATTAGTTAGAGAATATGTTTCGTGAAAAAATTAGACTTGAAAAAGAGCACGCTAGCAAGCAAGCAATAAGCGAGTTTGTAAATGCTTTTAACCAATCTAGCCAAAAAGAAAATGAGGTAAGTATCCAAGAATATAACATGAAGTCAATTTCTGCATTATACTAACATAGGCCGAAACGTTGCTGGAATTATCAAAGGATATTATTTAAACTGACTGAAAGAGTGTAGAACCTGCCGCAATAATGCTCCAGTTTGATTTGCCAGAATTATTACCATCGAGTGTTGGAGGAACAATAAATGTAACTTAAAAAAGGATGCAAAGATAAGGAATAAAAGCGCATGAATAACCTTGACTAAACTTCTATTGTTCAGAGATGGTAAACTGTAGACGTTGATTGACACCAATATTGTGATAAATTAACAGTAAATTTAAAAATTTATCTCTGAACCATATATAATGATTTATTGTAGTGTTACCTTGTCATGTTTTGTCTACCTCGAAGTCCTTTGTCATCCTACTATTACTTCTGATAATGGTACATTTAGGAGTAAACGATGAATATTTTTTCCGATCATTCAACAGTAGGTGCTCCTAATTCGTCCCAGCATCAAAAACCATCACTAAAAATTTCAAGGAGAGAAAATTCCTCTCTCTAAATGACTAAACTGAGTTTTTTCCCACTTAGTCTTTTAAAATTAATTAACCACCGAAACTGCTGGGACTGAGAATAGGAATAAACCAATTACTTAGAAGTCTATATCCCAAATATATCCCTACTAATCGGAATTATGGGATAGGTATCTGAGATCTACATTCATAGAGTCCACTGATTTGTCCTTCCACTTTATCATTCATTTCGCCACCATAGACATGATTTATTTCTCTGTGTACGGGACTAGCCACTTTTGGTACTTTGATGTTCAAATGATGTTCCACGGTAATTTCTACCATTAAGGATAGGAACTCGTTTCGATTGACTCCTCAACTATTATTAAACTGTTTGAGAGACGGATCACGCTATATCGTTCGGGAAAAAATTCTATTGACTACTCACTTAGTTTGGTTTCTAGGATAAATCATCGTAAGTACTTTCTAATTTTAAGTAAACAACTGATTTTATATACTTTGGCGATGTTTGAATAAAAATAAATATTAGATTTTATCCAATATCTTTCTTTTGCAAAGTTGTTTTCTATCAAAAGATATGTTAACCATAACCATTTCAAGATATATAGATATGGTATAAGTTTCAAGTCTTCGTAATATGCAGCGGACAGTAAAGATCACGGAGATAAACCAAAATTTATACTATGTCATAACCAAATAATAATGCAATGGTATGATTCTGGTATTTTACGCCCTACCTAAGTCAGCGGCTTTTGATTAATTAGTAAAATACGCAAAAACTCAACGATCACACATACAGAATTTTGTATTCATTCGTAAAATGACGAAATTAGACTACTTTTTGATGCATTTGAATTGTAATATTCGTGTTTATTAGGACTTATGAAAGTCCTTAATTGAAAATTTGTCCATAAAATCGATAGATCCAAAGGATACTCTATTAAAGTAGGTTTTCTTGCCATGACGTCTCAGAAGTAACATACTATTGAACTAAGTTTTACAAGACTTACAATCAATCACTCAGTAAACTGATAATTTGAACTATTTTAGGAACGCAGCAAATTCTTAAATCCTCCAGTTTGTTAAAGTTTTACTATGATCGATTTATTATTATTATTATTATTATTATTATTATTATCAATTTGATGTATAATATGGTTTATGGAGTAAACCTCTTATTTAAATTAGTGCAAATAAGTGAACAAACGTTAATTTAGTTTTATTTTTTTAAAAAAATACAAAGCTGCAAAATGAAATTACAGAAGCCCGAAGATTTGCTAAACAATATATAAGAGAAACCATTAACGAAGAAAACAACAGTATGTCGATAAATATTTTCCTCTTTTTCAACAGAATTACTCATATTAGTGGAATCAAATAAGAATATCCAACAACGTTTAGCATTTGTTGAGAAACCAATAGATTTGCCAGTGAGGACTTCATCTACAATCGAAGTTAAATTTACACCTAGAGTATTTCCTACACCTGAACGAGAGTCTACAAAACAAGCTGAGGATGAGGTAATTTTAACGGAAAATTACATTTGATCTCATAATACAAACTAACTTCTAGCTATTAAACTATTTTTTATAGTTTAAACTATAGTATTATTGTACTCTCCTGTTATAACTTCTCATGAATAACGTCAACATACTCACCTGCCTGATATGAAGCAAAACTCACCGTACTTTTATATTTACTTATTTATATTTTGCCTGCGTTCAGAAAAAATGGACAGCTCCTAACGTTTCAGTTAGTTATTTTATGACACATGTTATACTGATGTAAAACTTTAATAAGGGAACGAGAGTGTTGAAATTTAGTGATTTTGTGGTCTCACAATGTTATTTCATACATCCTGATCCCTTGATAAGTTTGATTAAAGTGAGAAGAATAAGATTTTCAGGACGACATGAATTTATTGTATTCCAAGGCTTCTCAACCGCTTCAAACGGCGTGAAGCTACATTAAAAATATTATAAACAAAATTTTACAAATTGTTGTAAATTAAGCTTAGTTCAAAATGACAAAAAAGACATAAAGGGCAAGAAGAGAAAACAATATATTTGGAGTAATCATTGAGATGCATGTGTTACTGTATTTATACCCTCTCCCCCTTTCATTTAGTGGCTAACTAAACAAGCCGAATATAGAAGAAAACTATTGGACCGTGTTGTACCTGATGATTTGTCCAGGAATGAACTAGATCCTATATGGTTACGCAAAAAGGGAGAGTAAGTTTGGTGTTTTTACTATGTATGGTCGAGCGGTCAATCTCCTGCTGTAGACAAATTTATATGTCAGTTAAGATATTGCCAATTCTTGTTCAATAAAATTAGTGGCGTCAGTCATTGACCGAATAACTGAGTCAAGTTATAAGGTGTGAGTTACCAGGTTGAGGTTCGCGTGGTTATCGTACCTATTGGTTAAAGACACTGAGTGACATAGCATAAAATTGGTCGCAGAGGTGAAAATTCATTCACTCCTTGTCTTCACTCAGATCTTGAGTTTTAGAATTATCTCATGGCATTTTTATTCCGCATACTCATTCTCTTCTCTTAAACCATTTTGTTTATACCTAGTGCTTCCTACTACTACTGATACGGTTGCTCCTTCTACCACTCTGATATTAGGCTTGGTAATTCTGTTTCGATGTGCTGACACGGTGTGGGAACTTGAATCAGTGCACATATGTACCTGGTTTTAAGTTGATTATAACTGGCTGACTGATTAAAAATTTTAATAGTTTGTGGGAAATACGTAGATGGAATCCATTGTCATCTGCATACTGAGTAAATTACAGGTTTGCAAGAAATTACATTTGAGCCTGTTAACTAGATGAACATAAAGAGATTGTTGTGTGCATTTAGTTGAACTACCCATATCTTCACTGCACTAAATAAACCAAACAAAAATTAAATACCATTGACAAATAACCAGTGATAAATCTTCAAAAACTTTTAGTATTGTGGTGAGTGCTACTGATTTTGACAGATATAAGTAGCATGTATCATCAGTTGAAAGCGAAATACCTGGAGGCAGAATGTTAAAAAGATCAAAGAAAAGAGAACGAAAACAAAAAAATGATTGGTGTTGAATCAAAGGAACAATGAAGTCTGAGACTATTGAAATACATTTGTGGAAGGAACAGTCAGGTTTAAGACAATTGCTTGACATTTTGCAAATTGAGTATTTACTGTATGGATCTCAGATTTTACTAAGATTTTCTATAATTTTGTATTCCCATGTATTTGAATGTAGATATAACTCTGTATTACCGTACTTAGAAAGAACAGATAAATATTGCGTTGACGAGTAGAACCTATAGGCCATTCTTTTTGGTGGAGTTTTGCTCTCTGAGCTGGACGGTTTGGTCGTGAAGTTCAGAGAACAAAACTCCACCAAAATCATCCACCTGAGCTACAAATCTTCTCCACCATCTCAAAGGCCATTCTTTAATGCAGCGACATCTATTTGTGATTTGAACCAAAGGGTCACGAAAAACCGGTGGATCACTACTAAGTCTGTTACACTGATAGATTCTCGCAAACTCATCTTATCAGGCTCTGAACACGATGAACAGCGTAAACAAATCAGATGTAGGTTAACCAAGGTCTAAGGAACGACCGTGAGCAGTGGTGGGCAACGAAGGCAAAAGTGGTGGAAACGGCGGCGGCTATAAGTAACACAAGGCAGCTCCACAGACTAATAAAAGAAACTGGAATTAAGATGTTGGGTGTAAGTGAGACGATCTTGGAAAAAGACAACACAATCTTTCTTTTATATGTTACTACCGTTGAAGTAACAACTTCTATGAACTTGGTGTTTATCTTGTTGTGCTAATGAGGTGTGGTATGTTGGACCGATGCTGCAAAATGTAGCACTGCCGCAAAAAATCTGAACTTACCTAGTCTTCAATTCAACCCGTATTAAATAATAATAATATATTATTACGTGCTGATAGATCATCTGTTGCTTGGTTTTTTAGATATACTGATCTTAACTTATACTTGATATCTGGAGACTGCATCATCTAAATGAGTTGAATGAGCCGATTATGAAAGTCCAGTTTTTCATTCACTCTTCTTGTTTGTCTCTCACTCTAAAAGAATATCATTATTACTAACTACGTTGTATCATTTCTTCGAATGCAGTTATGATTGTAACTAATAAACTGTTTACGTCATTCGAAATTGTTTTTATAAAACATGTGACGTAAAATTGCATTGCATCAGCCTAAACTGTTACACTTCACAACGACATACAAACAGAATTAAAATGGTTAAAAGGTTATTATTATAAACAGGAACGAGTGAGTGTTTATGCACTACTATAATCAAGGTATATGCTTTTTATCACTTCTAGGAATATAGTTCAGTTGTTTACAGTCATTTGTTTGAGTGAGATAAAAGTCTAAAAGCACAGCTTCTATGAAGAAAAGCCGATCAGACGTTGTTATGTTTTATGAAAATGCAAAGGAAGTGTATCAAAAGAGGGGTTTGTAAATATGATAGAATATTTTCTTTTAAGTTTATTAAATGTAAGTGTTATACATTCTTATATTAAAAATAAATTCATTTATTATCTAACTCAGAGAGTAATATTAATATGCAATGTTTAACATTTTATTATTATTTGTCTCTTTTTTCGAAAGTTCATTATTTCAAGCTGGAGATTATGAAGCTGCTGTCATTGCTTATACAGAAGCTATAACACAAAATCCTAAATTACATTCGTATCCTTTATGTTAAAGTATTGAATAATTGGAAGAAATTTATTTCTATTCAGTATTCATTTTAAATTTTATAAAATTCTACCAGATAATCAGTTTATATCACAGATACACCCTCATTTTGAAGTGATTCTTTAAATGAATTGTCATTTTGTGATAAAAGATTTACTTCCTCCAACCACCATCTAATCTTAACATAGTGCAATCAATGTTGAGTCACCTAGACTAGTGGCCACATTGCAGCGTGGTCGATATTATTCGATTTGCATTAAGAAGGACTTGATACACATGAAATTGATCACCATCCAGTGATCAATCAATTGAAACTAATCTACATAACCCTTTTATTTTAAGAAAAATCTCTTTTAGTAGTGAATAAACAAAATAGTGATCTTGATGATGATACGCCGAATTAGGTAAAATTAATTCACATAACAAATTAGAATCCACCTTGTTTTTGTTTTTCATAACTCAAACATAAGATAAATAACATGATATATAACAAGTCTTACTAAATGAACTCTCGATCTGATTTCCTAGCCGCTTCTAATAACCCCAGGTTGAATCTATATGGCAACTTGAACATAAGAGAAAAGGAGCGAAAACTATTGATAAGAATTTATTTGACTGCCGAAATAAATCGAAATAATCTTAGAATATATTACATTTTATATGGTTTGTTTAGTTAGATTAATTTACAGGTTTGTATACATTGAAATGAATTGTATTTAATAATAATAATAATAATAATAATAATAATAATAGTTCATTAACATACTGTGTGAATACATTTACTGTATTATATAATGAAGCATTTGTAATGCTTCTTAAGATATGAATACATGTTATACAAGATTGACAAAAGAAAATCAATTTCATATGTCGTTCGTGTTCTAATTAATTAAACCATTACTCTCTATAACAATTTTCATTGTCAATCAAGTTATCTCCTCTTCAAACGAATTTCTCATTATCAAAATTCATCTATAATTTTAATTTAACTGCATTCATATTGTTTATTCGAATATTCGTCAAGATTTGAACGAATCGTTTGACAGAAATTGGGCGCCAAGTATAGAGAAGTCATTATATATGAAAATTATATTTGAAATAATCTAAGCAATTGAAATTTAAATAATTTCAACGTTTCGTCCAGCCAACTTGTCATGGACTTCTTCAGGGTAATAATCAAAATCACCAAATTAATATATAGCTTTTTAACAACTAAAACTATACTGTGTTAAACCAATCAAATTTGGATGTTGATTTGTATTGGTCTATAAATATTTTATTCATCAGAAGCTAATAAATGATAGAAACTGAAAATTTATTCCTGAAATAAAGCTAAATTGTTAATTTGTTTCAGCAACATTAAAATACACTACTAATTATAGACTGATTATTCATAAGAGATTAATTAATATCTGTTACTTGGTGTTGTTAGACTTCTCTAAATCAAATTGTACTTTTGCCACTAGTCTAAGTTGCTCAATATTCCATATAGCATTTTCTGCTGTTGAGTGGTTGGAGATGATTGGAAGGAAACCTTAGATCTAGGTTTCATGCTAACTGGTACTTGTTAGTTACATCTATCTTTCGATAGCGAAGTCGATCCATTAGATCAGGACTTATATTACGCGGTGTCCTAATTATTATTTGCAAGTAAAATACCTAAAAACATTTTGCATAATAATCGGTACTTTTTCATCTTACTATTTTGTGTTCTGTGAAGGTTATCGTGCAAACTATTTTATTCTATTGATATACGGAAAAGCATGTTCTCTGATTTTAGTTATCCTTATTAATAACCAGAAGGTGAATGGAAATTTTATTTCTCATCATATGCGTTTATTCTCGTGTGAGTAAATTTCATTTTAACCAAGTAGAACAGTTTTAAAAAAAAACATAATTATAATCTAGTTATTGTGGATGAAGTGACAATAATCCATGGAAAAGTTTGCTTAACTGTATATTGAAATATTTTGCTGAAAAAATATCTGTTTCTATTCCTTAATCCAAATTTCGAAAATTCAATTAAAGGGCTTATTCAAATAGAGCTGCATGTCACTTACAATTGCGGAATTATTTTAAGGCTCTGGAAGATAGTTCGATGGTACTAGATCTTTGTGTACCGCCTGTAGCTCAAAATTTAAAATCACGTGTGCGTGCACATATTAGGCGTGGAGCAGCATTTTGTAATCTACAATTGTACAAAGAAGGTGGGTAGGTTGATAACTATATTAAATGTTGAATTACTAGGAAAATTCACGACCTACTATACTTACTATACCATTTTTACTGTTACGTTTATCTGTCAGTATGATTTACTTATTGAGTATACTAACTGACACATTTCTCAAGATTAAGTGTATTTAGGTTGCACGTATTGTATCTTGTAGATAGAACCCGTAGTACGATTAAGGATAATAAGGAGAAGCATTTACCTTAGCATACAATCTGAAATAATAACGTCATTAGTCACTCACGTTATACAGCATAAGATTATGTTACTTATTATATGTTGTAGTTTACAGTATACATTGTTTTAAACTTGGATGATAGTAGTATCAATGATTTTACCCTTAATAAATAAATATACGAGTGACAGAAAATACAACAATTTCCAGTCTCCTAAAATTGAAGCTGAATTTCAGTGATCCAAACTCTTGACCTAAACTACTATCTTATGCTTTCAAACTCCTTTTAGTTAAATTTTTTGAAAAAGACAATATTTCGAAGTGAAGTGTTATGGTGATGACACTTTAAAATATTAGTTTTATAAATTTAGTTTGCCTGGTAAATTTGAACACAGCAAAAACAACAAGATCCCCAAAATAAAATGGAGTCATTCTGTTTCAAGGCTTTTTATTGGCTCTAAACAGCCTAAAATTACATAGAGTGATATAGTTAGAAACATTTGATATATTTATGTGAGTGTATTGGAGTTCAATGTTCGAAACAGGATCAAAACCATGAAAAGGCGGATAAGACACATTTTATTAAGCAGTTAAGACTGATGGATTTTTATATTTGGAAATTATGGTCGTTCAGAGTAGCGGAAGTGAGATCATCGACACTAGTAATCATAATAAAGAAAATGATAAGTAATCAGTCAATATAATTTGCATCGAGTTCAAATCAATTTATGAGCATCATTAATATTATGTATGAGGTGAAAATTACCCGATTACAATTATATTTGCCATAACAAAGATAGAATTATCATGCTTTTATTCCGTACATATAGGTTAAGTCTGGAAAGTCTGATAACAACTGCCTTGTTATGGTGGTGAGATATCTTCACAAAACTATCAAACCATCCTATCCATTCACATAGTCAGTATATAATTGTCTAGTTAATTATTTACAATCTTTTACAAAGTATAGTCGTGACTGTAAACATGCATACTCATGTATAGTGTTTTTGAAGCGATGTTATTATTTAGTTGTTCAAAAATATACATTTTTAAATTTAGTGAAAATTCCCATTTCGACATTTGGTAAATAAAGAAGGAACGAATTGAGCGAAAAAATTTCTTTTCAATTAGTTTTTCATCATGGCTCTACACTAATATATATATACGTTTTACAATAATAATATAATACTCATCGAGTGGATACGTTACGTAATAATTACATAATGACATTTAAATTAACATTCAGTAATTGGAAGAGAGAGGATTATTAATATTCAAAGTAATCAAGAAGTTGCTATGTTGCGTAATATAAGAAACAAAGAAGGAATAGAATTTTACCGGATGGTCAATAGGATAGTAGTTACGTAAGAATCAAGAGATGAATGTTGAGAAGTTATAAGGCTCAAAAGCGATAGAAACAAAATTACAAAAATTTTAAAATAAATAAAAATAAAAATGGAAGAAGTATGAAAAATTTCTTCGCTCAATTCGTTCCTTCTTTATTTTTAAATTTCATCCAGGATACTGTAAGGGAGTCAGATATCATGAATTTTTACGAGTACATGTTTGTCAATAAATATAAATATATAGCTAGATAAATCTAACGTCTGATAATCGTCTAAAACATTTTTCTTTTGTTTTCTTTACGCAGGGCTTATCGAATACAGAGCTGCACAAAAACTTCAACCAGATGATGACACAATTAGAAAGGACATTGAAAATTTAGAGAAATTTGTAAATCAAGAATAATTAATATATTGCGAAGCTACTTAGACTCATTTCTACATTAAATTTTTGTTGTGACTTTGTCTTAGGGATAAATCAGGTAGAGTATAGACATCCATTTACTTTTTTCTAAGTTGTTGTAAATGATAAGTATAAAATTGACAATTTTGGTCATACCCCCTTAACTTTGCCATTTATCACATTATGGAGTCTATTCCACCTTAAATGCTTTTTATTTATGTAAGACTATCTCAGGCAAAAAATATTTTTCGGTTCCATAATTTTCCATAAGCCACATAAATTGTATCTGTAACCATGAAATGTGCTTTAGACCATGCGATTATAAATTAATTTTACAAGATTATTGAAAGCCTGTGTACATACCTACCCTTGGGACTGAACCGTTATGAGTTGTCAAAACCTCTAACCACTAGGTTAGAAATATGTGATTGTGTGAAATGTTAGACCGAACCAATCTTTATATGGCGAAACGCAGAATATTGTTGTCTACATCAAACGGTATTTAATATTAGTATCTACAAGTAGCACTGAGGGAGAAATGATGTATATATATAATGCATGTAGAAATATGTTTTGCGAAGTAATATTTAAACATATCATGGCACTGAAAACAAGAATTCTATCAGAATACTATTTTCTACTACAATCGTGGATGGAAAATCTACCTATTTTAAATAAAATAAGAAGAAAATGGAGTTAAAGTAATGTATGAAATTGGGAAATCAAAACGTGATTCGACTAAATACAGCAAAAATTCTAGAAATCAGTTACATAGTTTAGACTAATTTGTTCGATTTGTAGATAGGTTTCACCATGAAATGATATTAGTTGGAAAATAATTGAAAACCAGTGAGCCGTAGATAGTTATTTACTTTGTCTTGGACCTCTCAGTATTGTACAATAAAGTTGAACATACACCTAGTTTCGCGTTTGAACATCATATTGTTACACCTCTGAATGATTCACATTTTCCCTCTTTAGTGGTACTCGTGAATGTGTTCACTTTCAGTTTTAGTAGTCCCATAGGTCATTAATTTCCTTCAGTACTCTGACGAGATCCTTACAATTCTGGTCACCAGTGTCCCAACATCGAAGTGAAAATTATTATCAGAATGGGTTTTGTGGAGAGTTTTTTAGAAATTTCACAGGTTGAAATCATGAGCCGATTGAAGCTAGAACACCATGGAAAACCTGGAAGCACTGGACGGCCGTTTCGTCCTAGTATGGGACTCCTCAGCAGTGCGCATCCACGATTATATAGCTAAGTGAATTATGTACCTCATTTAATTTGTCAGTCTGTGATAAAAATGTTATATCGAAGCAATAGTTATTTTCCTTACTTAAATTTTGAAGTTTGTCGAGGAACTCTTTTTCTACTTTTTGAAAAGTCATTTACAGCGTCAGAATCATATTAAGTCAAATGACGAAATATGTTTTGATACTGTAGTTTTTTTCTATCATCCTCGATACTATAGTAACAGTAAAATTAAAACAGTATGTTTCAAATTAATGAATATTTGAGATGTTAAAAGCCAATGATTTTCTTAAATACTGATCATGAAACAAATTTAAATTCAATTCGAATAAAGGCTTCCTGATTTAATTGATTTCTCACTATTTAGATTTTGAGGATTATATATGCAATCAAGTCTTCACTACTTGTGAGTAGACAAAATGAGTATTGAAAAAGACAAACTATTTGTAGACAATGTTCACTGTATCAAACAATTTTAGTCAGTATCATTATATGGTTATGATTTTTCAAATATGTTTCGAATTCTTCAGTGAACACTGAAAAATACAAGAAATCAGTTGTTTTAAATGATACGTAATCCATGTTAATGACGGTTTGAAATTTGTTTCCTGACTTGTGTTCTGACAGCTTAATTAGTCATTGTAAGAAGGCTATAATATCTATGTGGAATCCTGTCTCTTAGTTATAATTTATTAGTTTCTTCTATGACAAAATTTTTTGTTTGAGAATGATACTCAAGTCATACAACATCCCATATAATTCAAAATCGTAGTTCTTTTTGCAGCGACAGACAATAATCTTAGTTTGTTAGCATTACTGAAATACCCTGAACATAATCGAAAGTCCAATTCAATACCTTTCGCTGGAAGTGTACTAGACTTACGAATGGCAATTAGTTGGAGAGCCTGAGATTATTCTGATGAATAAAATGGATTATTTAGATAAGATGTTTTGATTTTCATAAGTTTTTCATGTCTAAATAGTACATAGTACTAGCCATAGGTAAGTATGTGACCGATAGGTACTCAAGGAGATCTTAGCTGATAATTCAGTTCAAGAATACGAGTAATGGCCTAATGTAAAGACATTAAACAGTAGTGTTAGTTACTTACGTTTCTATAAAAATAATTTACTAAATTGGATTGGGTATATGATGGAATCAGATGTGGAAATCATTATCCTTATGGGCCGACACTACCTAATTGAAAGCTGGACATCCATGAGCATTGGATAAAACTTTTGCGGTAATTTAGTACTCTTCAAAAATCATTGTCAATAATTACGTACATTACTGAATCTATACCCTCCAGATTTGGAAGTAAACACTATACTTTTGAGACACGGAGTTGTAATATGGTAGTCCACCTTCTTAACTCTGACCAACTTATAACTAGCATGTTTCGTATGAAAATCATTGTTTATCCTTACTTATTTCTCACTTCTCTATCTCACTTTCATCATATGATATCGTTAATTATCTGAGTTTTCTTCCACTCCAAATCCCAAACAAGTGTAAATATTTTAGCAATCAAGTCGATTTAATTATTCCTGTAATCTTGTTTTCATCAAACGTTTTAGCAATTATACAAACGATATTATTTTGTTTTTATCCCCTAACTTAATTCTTGTTACACTTTCGCGAAAATTACAGAAGATAAACTTCTCATACAGTAGGTTAGAAAATGATGATGAATATGTATCTGATGTTTTCCAATGACTGACACGAGTGTATAGAATAGAGCTGTGTTAGTTTAAGATGTGTTTAGTAAAGATCCAGACAATACTGTACTGATATCAATTGATTCTTTAAAATCGATCAGTATTATTTGAGGAGTTCCACAATAGAACGAAACGGCCATTCAGTGCTTCCAGGTTTTCCATCGTAGTCTAGCTTCAATTGACTCATGATCTCAACTATTGAATTTGCTATAATATCCGCAAAACCACTTTTAATAATATTTGTGTTAAACCATGAAAAACTCGTTTTCATGATATTCCAAATCACATGTACAAATGCTGCATACAAAGTGATTAAAATGTATGTTAATTGAATTTTAATCAATAACTTGACTTATGAATACATGACTAAGTAATACACAGCAATCATATGTTTCAATGAAGCTTTTATGTACCACATTTTGTCAGGTCTGCCGTTCGATCAACTCTAGTCCATTCAATTCATTCTCCGCGCCTTCTCCATTGTTAGGTATTTCCCCGAGTTAAATATTGAATATCTATTTTCTGAGTAGTCTCGTGTTCACAGCTTTGTGGATTGTGTGGCTATTGTCCAATGCCACTACACTACTCTCCCACCAGAATCAACGTGATGTTGGTTCGATACCAAATTGGATGGGATCGTCGCTCGCCGGAGGTTACCAAGGATAATAAGGATCGTCCGGGTATTGATAAGCTGAAAGATAAATCAAAAAGAAGGCGGAAGCATCTGGTCGGGAAATACATGTAATAATTTAAAAAAAATCTGCCTTCATGCTTAACTCGCTTAAAATGACAATTTGGGTAAAGATTATTTGAGCTATAAAAAATGGGATTACAGTAATAATGATAAAACAATGCGTGTTAATAGCCGTTGGTTAATAACGACGTATAGGTAGTAAGTATTTTGTGTTTAGAAATATTAAAGTAATGAATTGTAGAAATGTTAATATTGGTATTAGTTTTGGTTTAAATTATGAAACCAATTAACAATTATGCCGGTAACCCGTCCATATGTGATTTCCAATTGCATCTGTATTAGTAGGCTAACTGGGAGAACAAAAGTATTACCATGGAAAAGAATTCCAACTAGTGTTCCAGTTAGTTTGATACGGTTTATTTAGTTACGGGGAGATTTTCTCAACTTCATTTTTACTTGACCGTGATAGAATTTAGTAATACTACCAATACACATGAATGGTTATCAAAATAAAATTTAAATACATGAGTGATAATTATATGAATTTTGGACAGATAGCTAGGAACAAATCGCTAAACATGAGTGTGTTCGTAAGAGACATGCTCTGGACTCAATGTTCTGATCTGCAATAGACTATTTATTTATATTTATACTTGCTGGCTGATTGGGCATACAAGTTAGTTGCAAGTACGCAGTTTATCATAAGCCGGAATACGATTTAATTGAGATATAGTGGTTATAAGTTATTGAAATCAGTTAGGCCTATGTGTCATATTACTAGGTGATGTGGTGCTGCAGGATGTATTCGGCTAAATAAACTTTTACAAGATGATTAACAGTGAGTGATGCTCATGTGATTATCAGGAAGAACACAAGTTGTAACCAAGGGGAGTACACTCCCAACTCACGTCTATGATAATGGCTTGAACCTTAGTCAGTGTTGGGGTAAATTCGACATTGATGTTTTCAGTTTGCAGGAGATTTGCTCGACTACTTATGTTGATTATTTGCATGCATGATTGTGTCGCTAAACCTCCAATTAGACTGACAAGGTTTTGAGATATTTACTGAATAAGCAACTGATAGAGAAACATACTGTAATCATCTGGATTATTTCTAAAAATTAGATTATTCAGTGGACGACATATATAACGCCATTCGTAAGGAGTAGTAATGATCCAAAAGTATCCAGAATAAAACATGCAGAATGGCAATTAATTCTAGGGTGCTTGATGGTGTTGACGTTTCTGCCACTCGCTCGGATTAGAACAATCGAATGAATTAAGTTAATTGTATGGTTGTTATTGAACGAGCCATCTAAAATGACCTTATGATTGCAGAAAACCTATAGATGAAACTCACCGTATGTTTTTGGAGAAGTGTCATCCTTGTTGTTTGGCAATGGAACTCGAAAATATGAAATTAGGCAGGCAGTGGTCAGAAGAAAAGATATTACGGGATAGTGCATAGTTTAAAACAAAATGAGGTGTTAGGTGAAGGAACACTGATAATTAGATCCAGATAACTATTTAGTCCTTGATTGCATTGTTAGTCAATGTATACTTACGCTATTTACAGGTCATATTTGCTAGAGCTTGATGTTTAAACAAGTCTATGTTGCTGAAGCATGTAAATGC